ATTGAATCATATCTGTTATTAATCTCTGTCTCTCTTCCACGGCATGTCTTTTATCCTGTCTTCCTTCTCCCACCCCAACCGGTCGCAGCAGATGGCCCCGCCCCTCCCTGAGCCAGCTTTCTTCCTGTTAAAAGGGAGTTTTTCCTTCCCACTGTCGCCAAAGTGCTAGGGGTCATATGATTGTTGGGTTTTTCTCTGTATCTACTGTACAATATAAAGCGCCTTGAGGCGACTTTTGTTGTGATTTGGCGCTATATAAATGAAATTGAATTGAATTGAATTAGTTCCAGTGAAGGGGAAATCTTATTAATGCTTCAGCTTACCACAACATTTTGGACAATTCTGTGCTTCTAACTTTTTGGAAACAGTTTGAATAAGGCTGTTTCCTGTTCCAGCATGGTTGTTAACTGGTGCACAAAGCAAAGTCCAGAAATACATGGTTGGGTGAGTTTGGTGTGGAAGAACTTGATTGGCTCTCAAAAGAGCTCTGACCTCAACCCTACTGAAAACCTTCGGGATGAACTAGAGCAGAGACTGCAAGCATGCAACATTAGTGTCTGGTTTCACAAGCGCTTGTCTTGATGAAAGACCAAAACTTTCCACAGACAATTCGAAAGTGCAGAACATATAGAAACCCTTTCCAGAGAAACAGAAGTTGCTATAGCTGCAAAGTGGGAACTGATGCCATAAAAAATATCCTGCTGTTAAAATGTGTAGATGGCCCAAATACTTTTGTCTGTATTGTGCGTTTAATAAATAGGTAAAAACAAGAGGCCACCAAAGATGAGAAGATCTGAAAAAAGTTAAAAGCAAAATGATTTAAAAAAAATCATATTTTTCCAGATTTAGGCACACTGTTGTTGTGTTTCTGAAGATAATCTGAAAGCACAGAACAGAAAGAAAATAATAAAGTACGACAGAAGAAAAACAATCTTGTGATGAAGTAGCGAACTGTCCGGGGTGTAACCCACCTCTGACCTTATGACAAGGATTAGGCTTGAGGCCTCATATGACCTAAATTGGATAATCTGTTATGAAAATTAATTTCTTTAGCTGAACAAAGTCAAAAGTGTGCACTTTGTTTTGTTCAAGTATATTATTACAAATGTCTCATGCATTAAAATACCAAAATAAGCTGAACAAAAATCACTGAATCTTCTAGAGATAATTTATTCTGACAGATAAATGTACAGTATCAACTCCTGTCGCTGTAAGAATGCATTATAACCCCCCCCCCCCCCTTTTTTTTTTTTTTAAATCAAATGGAGTCCACCTTGTAAAATTGTGGTTGGAAAAGACAAACAACAGAAACCAAACACTCTCCTTGGCAGAGTTTAAACACCCAGCATGTGAGTATACGACTGTGTCTTGTTCACACACCCCCTTTTCCTCAACTTTCGCTCAGACTTGTCAACCGAAACCTGCCCTCCCACTAGACTGTGTCAGGAGACTTTGAGGCCATGGGGCAGGTTTGAACAGACCCTCTCGTTTACACCTAAAATCCCCCTGGCTTGTCCTTTCCATGCAGGAAAAGTGTCTTGAGTAATGTGGAGCTCCTCCTAAGCCCTGGCTCCTAATAATATAACAGCTTGTTGACATGTGAAAGAAAGTAATTTTAAAAACAAAAAACTATATTACATTTATTATTATTATAGTAAATATTATAATGAAATCTAAAGGAGTATTTCTCATGATTACATTTCCAAGGAACTGCTGCCTGCAAATTAGAAGCTGAAGCAAGTTTCAGGCTTTTTCTAATGATTTTTTTTACATTTTAACACAGTGTTATCATGTTATATCTCCAGTGGAATGTTCAGAGCCAGCATTAAGCAAATTAATTATTTATTTAGATTCCTTTTAGGTCGACCCCTCCTTACCAAACCTACAAAATCAAACATATGAAGCTACCAGCACTGGTGACCCCTTTGTGAATAAGAAGCCAGAAGTATCTTTATTTATGTCCTTTTATAGCAATTTTAAAGACTGACTCCATAAATATATGAGAAATTTCACTAAAAAAAACTGCCGTACAGAAATAAGCTCACAACCCACTTTCCTGGGTACATCTGTGGAGCTGCGAATGCAAATATCCAATGAGCCATTTACACTAAAGAAACTCAGTGCATTTATGTAAGCATGTAGACATTGTCAAGATAATGTGCTGTAGTTCAATCTGAGCATTAAGCATGAGCATTACGTGACTCCAAACATGACATGGTTGTTGGTGCCAGATGGCTGGTTTGAGTATTTTAGAAGATGCCTGATGTTCTGCGATTTTCCTGCACACCTATTTCTAGGTTTACAGAGAAAGGATTAAAAAAAATAAATTAATTAAATGAGCAGCAGTTTTATGGGCACAAATATCTTGTAGATGCCAGAGGTCAAAGGAGAATGGTCAGAGTGCTTTGAAATTTGAGCTAAAGACAAATAAAACTTAAATAACTACTTGTTAAAATGGAAGTAAGCAGAATACCATCTCTGAATATGCAACATGTTGAACCTTGAAGCAGAAAACCACTCCAGGTGACACTCCAGGCTAACAGCAGCAAACTGGACCATGCAAGCTACTATTTGCATGGTCTCACCTTTATGACCACAGTGTACCCATCTTCTGATGTTGCAAAGCTCAAACCATCTTAAAATAGTTCCTCTAACATGACAGTGAGCTCACTGTACTCACTGTAACTTGATCTTAAACCAATAAAGCACTTTTGGGATGTGGTGTAACGAAATATTTGCATCATGGATGTGCAGCCACCAAATCTGTGCTATGTTATCATGTTAATATGGAACAAAATCTATGAAAATGGGTTAGAGAAGATATGAAGTATTAAAACAGTTCTGAAGGCAAAAGGAGGCCCAAACTGTTTTTAACAAGGTATATCTAATAAATTGACCAGTATGTGTGTTT